CGTGTTCCTGTGGGTGGTCCATGACGGGTACCAACGCCTTTCCTATTCGAATATTACTTCCCATTGAAGGAACGGTTGTGGCATACATGTGATATGAACAGTGGTGTTTAAAACTAAAAGAATAGAGACGTGAGTATCAACTGGCCCTTAGCTTCTATTGATAACCTCGACACCTATGCAAATGCAGCAGGCACTGGATGGACGACAAGCGCATGGCGCGTTTGACTAGTGAACTGATCAACGTGAACTTCACATCACTTCGACCATGGCGCATATCCTTTCTATGACATAACCCCGAAACAGTAGTTACATGACTGATTTCTCTTTTCACGCTGTTTTATTAAGACCTCATTAATCAGTCTGCGCTCATAAGCACACCCATTTGCTCTATTTAAAGAGCAATTTTACAACCATTGTCTTGACATGAACCGCGTTCCGATGCCAGCAACAGCTGAATAATGGCATAAAAATGTAACAACCATTCCATAGTTTCGAATCGTAGATGGGTATCCTAAATGGAATTGCGGCGCTATCGCAAGATATGGAGGCATCTTCTGGGACTGGGCCCAGTCGGGAGCAGGATTTCGGAGGCAGCGAAAAGTGCTCATGCGCTGGAGCTTCTACTCCCCACCTTGGTTTATGGTTAGTATCGGTTTTAACGGAAAGGAGATATTTCACATGGTTTTGACTGCGCTGCCATCATATTGCCCCTGTATGTTGCGTTAACGCCTGGGAATGCTTTTCCATCTGCTAAGTTTTAGGAACATTTGAATAGGCATGTGGTAACATCACGCAACTGCCTTTGGCCGACAACCTATTTCGAGTCCGTGCCTCTCCTGGTTGAAATACATATTTCGAATGGGAGAAGAATACAAAAGTATGGCTGTATACCCAGTCAGTGAGAGACGCCATGTGTTGCCTGCATTCAGAGTGATTCCTTCCTCATATGTGCTACCGTTCCACTTAAGGTAGCCATTATTCCGGGACATTACAATTTTATTGCATAATGATTCAAAACAGGTACCCAAACACGAACAAATCAAATACTAAACGTGTTTTGCTACAAATCAGCGGGAGTTTCTCTCGAAATAACCGACAGCGATCTTTCAAGTACACGCTTAGCCGATTCGACTTCTTTGAGGGTAGCCGCCGACGATGCTCTCTGAAGATAAATTAGCCCATACAAAGAAGCAAAAAGACACGCTCAGTTGCAATATGGAACACACCTGTTGCCTCAACGGCGCTATTCGTGAATAGATCAGCTTCCACATGGGGACACCGTCGTCTTCATTCACATCCAATACCGGACACCATCGCTGATGGAATTTCACTGGGTCAAAAGCGATATCTCTAAAAAAGCCAGCCATTTATCGCGATCTGTCAGAAACATTCCAATACCTTCGAAACGGTGAAAAAAAAAATTCAAACCAATAACGTGAAAAATTAATTTGATTCTGAAATTTACGGAAGGATTGTTGACATTAAAAAAGGTAACTTACCCAAGTACAAAATCCCTTGCGCAATAGTCACACACAGCTACGAAATGCTCTTTTCCGGCCAACTTCTCAGTTTCTATTGACCAACCCAAAGATGATCCTATCAGAGCTTCACGCGATGATGAACATTCCGTCCCTACATCGCTACACGTCACTATGTCGTTCGGAATCGTCTGAAAAAAATAGTAATGCGGGGTCTACGTCTACTAGCCATCCGTCTACCAGTCCCTCTAAGACTGACAAAGCCGCCGCCTTCCCACCTCGACGTAGCTTTCGCTCAAAGGAGGATTCCGCAGTAAGGTCGAAGAAGGGGAGAATTACCTAGTGCAGGGCCAGCGGGACCTCCTAAGGCCGGGCCGACACGCAACTCGCAGAGCCAAATGACAGGTCCCAGGGACATGGCGCGGCCTCGTTCCCGCGCTTTGATCGATCGCGGTTTAGACCCCATCAATACTCCACCGGGTCTCTCGCCGTTAGACAGAGAGCGTAAAAGGTGGAAGTGGGCAGTTCACTCCTCATCATGCAGGCAATTAAAGGGCAGAGGGGGTCCAATTTCCTTAGATTTAGACATTTTTCTTGTTTTTTGTTGCGTGTCATCATCACACCTCGTAATACTTGGAATGTACAGTGACGCTACATTCGCCACCATGAAATTTCGTCTTGTGAAACCTGCATCCTAGTAGAGAAGTTGTTGAATCGTTTTGCTGTTTTGGTAATAAAACATCTCTTCGTAAAACTATTCTTACTCCTAAGCGAAAAACTTGAACCTAAACAGCCTTTTCCCTGTTACCCAATTACAAAAGTGAGGGGTCCGCTTCTAATTTCTACAATGAGCAGAGCATTCACAAAGTGAAATGAAAGTAATTTGTACTCCACAGAGAATTGGCTGCGTAATTTGGTGTGGATCGCGAAAAACACCCTAGAAACACAGTATGGCTGATGGGGCTGGGGAATCGAAATGCAGGATCATCAATACAAAAAGTATTATTTTAATTTGGTGCGTGTGATTAATTATAGAGCCTCCGAGTAAGCGCTGACTCAATTTTAAGACTGGGACCTATTCTCAAGATCTTACAGAGGCGGAATTCGAATTTGTTAATAGATACTCGTCGCCGAATCAACCTTAGAAGAAAGGCCTGATATTTTTTGTTTATGCTTTGGCAAGTGTTCAACCACAACTTCAGTACAACTCGGTCCTCGGCATTGGCGAACGTATAATCTCTCTGACCCTCTCAGCACTTAACGCACCACTGCAGTCGTCGTGGGGATCTCGGAGGGCTGGCGGACCTGCTGCACTGGTATCCGAGTTGTATCTCAGCTAACAGCTTGCATTGTTCGCTGGCCACCACATAATTCAACCAATCCCATCCCCCTTCCCATCCCTTCATTCTCAATCCCCGATGAACCGCTGGATGGAATAAGTTCGAACTCATAGACATAGTCGGAGTTTGAGCAGCTTGTTCTACACAGGAGTTTGATGGCAAGTCTTCTGTTGCAGTCAGGGCTTACTCTGAAAGACCTTATATGCTTACCTTTTTGGATTTGTCACCCCTCTAATCAGAAGCACATTGCGCGATGACTCTTACAATGTACCTAGCTAGAGAACAGATTCCAAGCTGAGGAGCAGATATGTATCATCACTGCATTCTAATAGGAAAAAATCCGGACCTAGAACGAGAACGGTATCGGCTCCTTATCCTTGCCTCCTCCTCCAACTCCGTCTACATGGCCACATTAGCCGACACGGTTGAGTGTCTGAGGTGATGTCTGCCGTCTTTATCATCTCCATTCTTCATCGGCCATCAGTCGTCTGAATTGTCATCCGGGCGGCATGTACTCGACGAACTAACTAATGTGTGGCCGATTTCAGTCACAGGACTCCCCTACCCCACCTGATCACTGCAAGTGAACTGATTTCGAGAGGAATCGGGTGTGCTGGGTGATGCCACAAATGATACTAGTCTTATGGCTTCTACCTTGCAAATTTTCGGCGAGAATTTGGTACAGCTGTGAGCTTGCTAACCGCTCCACCTTCCTCCCGCAAGAGTTTCACTCCTTCTAGGCGAACCAAGGTCGAATAACTGAAGACTTATACTTCGACCTAATGCATGTGTAACAAACCCTATGTACAAAGCAGAAATTTTCAGGCTGAATTTCTACGTGTTGTCCTTTTCAAAGAGAGGTTTAAGTTTTTGTTCCCTATCCTCCATACATTCCGCCCACCCCCCCCCCCCCCCTACCCTCGATGGCAGTCTTCGAGCTTGGAAACGGAGTTTTCAGCTCCAACCGCAAAGCTGGCAACACGAAGACCAGAGAGAGGAACATACTGATGATGGGCTGAGAAGAGGATAAGCCATACCAAGACTTTGTGATAGAGTTGTCATCCTACTGCCACGTCCATTTTCTCAAAGCGATTCAAACCTGCTTTGAGCCAGTTATGAAACGTGTATTTGGAAATTTGCAGCACGTCGTGCTAGCTCGTTACAGTTATTTGAGTTGCCAAGCCTTCGTCCATTTGCTCAGCTGTAAGAGTGTTTAAACACGACGTGACAAAAGCGAGTGGGCTGCTTCTCGAACGTGTATTCAACATTCAGGAACTACATATAATACGATTCCTGTCACAAAAGGCGGCCTGGGGTATTCATACCACATTATGCATCCCACGCCTTATAGTCACACGTAGATCTCATAAAAGTCAGGATAGATATGAGCATGTGCAGAGCAGAGCAACCTACGCCATCCGCGATGGTTACCAAGCAGGACATATTGACAGCAGTGACATAGAGCATGATTATCGATCCGCTTTTTATACACTTTTACCAAAAGGGAACGGTACGCAAAAATCACGTTCTAAGTTTTTCGAAGAGATAAATACAAAAATGAGGATTCCAAGTGATTATATGCGCATGATCGATCACGCAGCAAATGAATATGCAAGCGTGCCTTGTTTCAGATGAATAACTTCCATATGATACCATAAGCTTCCCACCTCCTTTATTGGAAGCAGCAACACGTATGAAATAATCCACATGCTTCATGGGGTGTTTAACTACTATGTTTACAATAAGAGCCGATAATCGCTCACCTTTTTAACCTTTTATTCCCAAAAGTCAATACGGGTACATTTTTTTCGCACATTTTTATGCGCCTTACGACCTCGAGTCAGTAGTAAGTTTACCAAACAACCACAGGGAACGTAAAAGATCCAAAAGAGCGACTATGAGACGTCTTCGACAACGGCAATCCATGGCGTATATAAACAAGTAATGTTAGACACTATAGGAAATTCCACTCTCTCCTAAATGGCGTTTGTATGTGACAGCACATATTCCACTCGGTGGAAGCAGGACGAGTGTCTTTCGTGACGAGTGGGGGACTCTGTTAAGGTTGGAACGAGGTGCAAGAGTGGATTGGACGCTTGGTCGGGTTTATCTCATCTACTGAATTCGAAAAAACTTCCAGCAACTTAAGAAGATGACCCCCGCGAAACATAAAAATCGCTGAATACGTTCTGTAATACAAAAAAAAACTTAGAAGATACAACATTAGTAAATAAAAATAAACGAGAGAGACCGAATTGTTTAGGGCATAAGTTAGGCCTTTTTTTGTCACGCTCAACATGATACACCTCACTGAAATTAATGGTTCCTATTTTGCTTATTGGCATTTCGGACGACGATATGCGCAAGCAACGAATTAAAGTGAGATGAACCATTGCGATCGAAGAAAATTTTAAAGACTCGAGATTTTGCGGAACACTCTACAGTGCATGCTGTTTATATGAACTTTGACAGGACATAATAGAGTATTTATCGGAATTTTTCCAGGACCTGGAAATATTGATGCTCACCATGTTCATTCTCAGGCCATCTCTATTGTACGAGGAGATCCTCTTCCGAACCACATCGTTTAAGAAGTTCTCATCAACATAGTGTTTGAATTCAAGTGGTTCCGATCTGTATATGCATGTAAGCACATGCGAACTCACTATTTTCTCGCGGACCCGTCTGAAAAAAGTCCTTTTGACCTTGCGGGACAAATTTTTGTTGAAAGAAAAGAACGTTTGGTATTTATCACAAGAACAGCGACTAGAGAATAAAACGTTCGGCCTCAAACAGGGCGCGAACACGCACTTATGCCTTCCGGTCACACTAGTGGCTTATCCACTTATTATTGGAAATTGTAAGCTGTAAAGAGCTCACTAACCATAAGGTAGTAGTAGTGGAGTGAACTTAGTACAAAGGAAGCGTAAGTGCGAGCTCAAAGCTCGAGTAAGACCGGACGTTTTGTTCATGATTCAGCCGTCGTGGATAACATTGTCATGGCCAAATCGCAGCCGTATAGCATACATTATAGAAAAAAATAAATTAGTAAAAATTTTTAACGGATCGCTTGCCAGTGTAACCTACCTCATGCATTTGGTGTATACGCTGATGTCAACTTCAGTGATTTTTGGAACGGAAGTGCAAAGAAACTGCTTGCATGCAATGCATTGTACCTGATCACGGGCTTTGCATTCCCACCCATGAACGGCTAGCTCCCGTGGAGTAACTTCATTTCCAGCCCACAATTCAAACTGTAAAAGGGAAATCGTTTTAAAAGAAAGAAACTACGAATATAGAATTAAACGGAAATATATTCTAAAAAAACATTTAGCAAGGCTCACATTGAGAAAAGACAAGAGTCTGCATTCAGATTTCTTAGAAATTGTGGTCCATCTTAGAGAGAAAACACTTTCACACCCCCATTTTTGATTTATTAGCGTACGCCTGATGCCCACGCTAGCGCGGCTATTTTTATCAAACATACAACGCATGATTTCATAACAAAGAATTCCATCTAGCTCAGACACACACCACATCGATTCAAGAGAGCATGCAAGATATCATGTTTGAGCAAAAGAGATATTAGCTTCCACTGATCCAACAAGCCTTATGCATACCCGCCAGCAACTGAAGAAGCGGGAAAATAGCCCCTTGGGATGTTCTTTTCTAACGGAAGAAAAAAAAAAACTTCGCGGTTATCGATAAAACACCTGCACGTTCGTGGATGGAAAAGCAGAAAAGAGCAATCGAAAACGCGAAATTTAGCACAATTACCGGTATCTAGATTCCTTATTACACGCCAAAGACTCCAGCCTCTACAAGGAAACATTCCAAGGAAAGCCTGGAAGGACACAAACAACAAAAAAAAAACGATGAATTTCTAGCTCTAGGAAAAACTGTTTTTTCGGCTCATGGGAAGAAGTATTTTGGGGTAGCAGTCAAGCAGGAGTTAGTTTACATCAAAAACACCGCACTTGTTTCGCATCTTTGTCCGATTCGGAAAGAAGCCGTGAAAAATTGGGGAAGGAAATAAGGAAGGAACGGCGAAAAGGTTTGCAGATGTTGCTTCCAAAGGAGCACACACCTGTCCTAATTCAACCATGCACTTAACATGTTTTACTGGAGAGATCGTGTAATAGTAAAATACAATGAGAGTAAAAAAGACGGACCTCATCTACTCCACATCAGTGGTCACTGTAATTCTTCATTGAACATACCTTATATGACTTGATCAGAGACTTGTAGGTGGAGAACGAAACGCTGCTCGGCTTGGATCTGAATGAATCGCAAGCAATTACCTCTAGACTTTTATTATTATTTACCTTCTATTATTACTTATTATTATTACTCTTAGATTATTAAATGTCTAACGATTGGAATCATTACCGAAAAAAGACGAACCATGAAAATTTATCCTAGAGGCATTCAAGCAGGTCGCATGCCATATAACGGGTTTTACTGTGCCGGTTGCATGAGATGTAACGTTAGAATACCGATTCTTCACTTTTATAAAGCTATGTTTTTCGTCAGACACAAAAGAAACTTGTGCTTCTGAAGGGAAAGAGTTCGGAAAATAATAGTTGAGAAAATGGGGATGACCGTGTTTCACTAAACGGAACTAGTTCTACATGCTACCGGATCTAATTCTAGCCCTTATGGAGTGCCAGAGTTGATAACGATTATTCATGTAGTAGTGTCGGGACAAGCCAGCCGTCTATCGGCATGACCCGAATGTTAACCCTTTGTCCACATTAATCAAAATGTCACTTTCATGTTCTGTGTTTTTGTGGTATGCGAAGAGAGGAGGTCTCATCCAGTAAGGGGGGCATCAAGTGGCTGCCCTCACCCCCCCTACTACACTCCCCCTGGCGCACAGGTTTCTCGAAGTACGGGACCCCGTGAGCCAGGGGGAGTGAAGGCAGTCTAGGGGGTGGGGGGTGAGGGCAGCCACTTGACGTTGCATCACAATGCCCCCCCCCTTACTGGATGAGACCCAGGAGCTTTGTGTGTCACAGAAAATGAGCAGAACGCTCGAACTGCAATGGTCGGAGAAATAACCGAAGTTCCTTTGCGAAGCATTTCTTCAGTGTTCTTCCAGGGAAGGTCCTCAATGCAACAGAGCTCAACTATTTACTGACAATCTAAAATACGGATTTGTAATTGAACGTCGCGGCGTAGCAGTCATCGGCAACATTAATTCAGTTTTTCGAAGGGAACGAAGCTTTATTAATGTAGGTGAATGGATGCGCTTCCACAAAATGGGGACCAACTAAGTATGAAAATGCAAATGTTTGTCGTGCTTTCAAATCTAGCGCCACGATGCTCCCCTACAATGCAGACCGAAATACCGTAAGTCTTTCCGGTGCAATCAGCAAATTTACCACAGAATCGTGATAACTATTGAATTAGCCACACTATCATTTCACTTAGGCTTAACGTTTCCTTCCAAGTTGCTCGCAGTTTTTCAACGATGGCGATACGTAACAAAATGCAACATTGTTAAAGAAAAAAGATTGAAACTCACTTTTTCGGAGCTGAAGTTGAGGATATGGCCCGAATGAGCGAAGAGAGCTTCTCACAAGCTTTTCTTTTCATTTCTCGGATCGTTTCCAGAGGCACTTCGGATAACTCGGAGCAATCAGACTTTTCGGAGCTCATTGTTGATGCACTAAATGCAATTCCAAGTGAACATGAACTTCATGAACCTTTGAGAGCTAGCAAACGTTGAGTTTGAATGTTTAAAGGAGTCACACCTCTTCAACATTTGTGCTCCCGCAAAGAAAGCTGTTTGAAGTACGGTAACATTAGCACCGCCCCGCCCGAGCACCAGCCGGTCAGTCGATAGTGGTAATCGATAACGGGTGGTGTCTCGTGCGTTTTATATTTGAGCAAACACGAGTGTCGCGATTTTCCTATTCGAGCTGGTCCGTGGAAGTAACTGTGAACCTGCGTAGATCAGCTGAAGCTAGCAGAAATTGCGCATAACTTTTTGTTGTGTGCTTATCGATTGCCTTCTGATTCCATCAAGTCTTACTGACAGCTGCCAGCATTCCTTTTTTCCCACGATCATCTCATTCGCACACAAACTGTCATTCGGTTGCATTCAGCTCATCTAATAATTCCCGGAAAAAATCGATACTATCTCTGGTGGATAGTGTTTTGTTAATTTTTGTTAGCTTTCTATTCACTTTAACGGTCAGTTCCGGTGTGAAACGGTAGATTCGTGTGTGCGAATTTCAGTGTTATCAACGGTTCTGTTGATAGAATTTGCGCTGTGAAAATGTCGTGCAGTAGCGATGAGCAATCCGATAAGGAGGTAAGCTTTTTTTTCGGTTTTTCTGAATAGAAGAGATTCTTATTGTAATTTCAGTGTCCACTTTGTATGGAACAGCTCGAAATCGATGATTTAGATTTCTACCCCTGTAAATGTGAATATCAGGTTCGGTGTTGGTTTTCGTTTTCGAAACGTTGTTTTTCGTTGGCGACTGATCAATATTTCGGCAAGGCTGTTTCATGCATGTTACGAAAACGTTGCACGGAATGAAATGTGAAGACTTGGGGTCGTTATAGTAGATAGTGAAAAGCGGCTAGTGGAAATTTATGGTTTATCGACAAGAGTAGTTGGAGGAACTGGCGACCTGTCACTGAGGCTACATAATCATCGCGATATTCATGAAACGCTTTATTCCAGTCTGATCCCAAAGAAGCACAAAAAACTCGCCCTTGAAGTAACGGGTGACTGGGTCGAATTGATCATTTGAGATCTTATTAGCAGTAATTGTAACTCAGCGAGTTTTTAAAGTCTGCTGAAGCTTCTGTGCGAAACTTTCCTGGGCTTAAGAAAAGCTGTGGTCACCAGCGTGATAAAATGTTTGTTGCTACATGTTTGGCGGACTTTTGTATGTCGCTCCCCTTTGGAAGAGGTTAGAAGACTTCTGTCAACCAAACGGTGAGGGTGTAGAGGAAAAGCAGTACGTTTTTGTGGTAGTGGGACTAAGCCTTTTGAAGGAGGTAAAGAAAGCGGAGATTCTGTAATAGTGCGCTTGTGTGAGAGCTCCCAGACAGCACTACAAAACGCTGAATTGCCTAGCTTCATAGTTGACGGATATCCTGAGACCTTTAGAAGACTGAACAATTCATTCCATGGTTGTATTATATTTGGTCGACCCGTTCTATTGCTCCACTCGAATCTCAGAAGTTAGCAGTATCTGTTCCTATAACACCTTACATCTAAAGATTTAGACTTGCACCTCCCATGTTGCTGAAACACGGGGCTGAATAGTGGAACTGTATTAGATTGGCAAGTGTTCAGAGCCTGGCGTATACCTCTTTTGTATATGGTTTCCATGTCATGAGATTGCTGTACTAATAATAATAAGTGGAGTAGTTTCGCATATGCTTGACAAAATATAGCGAGCTTGTTATTCCTCCCTCCCCCTGGAATTGGTTACATAGCTTGGTTGGGTCAGCGTCATGAAGTCCTGAGCAGCAGCGTTATGAAATCCAATGATTAATTTATGCCGTCAGGGAAAAATCTTTGAGTGACACAGCGAGATCCATATGACAGTTCTTGAATACGTCAACTGATGACTATAATCGCGTCCACATAGCACTGGGCAGTGTTTCAGATTTTTACGCTTCATAGCCATTTTCATAAATCTCATTACTGAGTCGCAATCCAGGAAGCAGTAATGAATAGTTTTGTGTTTTCAGATTTGTAGGTTTTGCTGGCATCGTCTGCTTACGGATGAGAACGGTCTTTGCCCTGCTTGTCGGCAACCGTATCCAGAAGATCCTGTTACATTCAAGGTATGGTTTGCCTGCTATCGTCATGCAGTCTCGTAGTTACAAGTTATTCCGACAAATCGTCAGTAATACATTTTGAAAAGCGTATCCGTACAGTGCCTTTTTATAACGGCAGTTTTCGCTCGCCTTACAAGCTCTGCCGATGTTATTGATCTGGGGTAGTGTTGACGTGGCGTAATCGATTCCGTGAATTGCGCTCAGCTTTCATTCTCATTGCTGAATCAGCTGTTTGTTGAAAAACTCTTATGTGGATGTGCTTTAGAAAACCTCGAAACAGTACGGTTGGAAAGCGATTTTCCTGTGGGAGCGGTTGATGGTAGCGACAGCTAAAGCTATCTTTTTATCAAGGCATACTTTGATTCCATTTTTAATGCTTGAATCGGGCGGAGTTGGCAAAATGGTAAGTGGCGCCCGCTTGGCGCGCCCGTGAGCGCTATTGCTGTGTCAAATCTTGCTCAAGTCAGAGAAGCCTGCCATCTTTCCGACTCTGATTAATTGGTACCGGACATTGTTGGGAGGGTAAAAACACTGGCTGGTACATTGGCTATCCCCGTATTTCGTTGTGTAGGCCGAATCACCTTCAAATGCCACTATGACTCCGAGTGAAAGTACGAGGGCATACGAATTGTAGAGCTCGCGCACGCTTTTGAACCTCCGAATTTTCCTCGTGCTTATTGCCCAACTTTATTTTTCTGTGATGCAGCGTTTTCGACTTTTGCGCTGCCACAAAAACCTAAATAAAGCGACTTTTGGAATGGTGAAGCGCTCCTTCATCCTGAAGCTATCATCGCGTCGTACCGGCAGACTGTTTCGGCGCGACTTTTAGAAGCGTTTTGAAGAGAAACGAGACCATGGTGTGCGATATCATTTCAGAGTTTTCGAAACAGAGCAGCCTTTCTGATCGGATCTGATGCAAGCGGTCACCCACTATCAGGGTGCAATCCTGTTTTAAGGAAATTTGCCACCGCTTCCACAGCAAAACCGTAGATCACACCAATGAGGCTCTAACCCGAGAATATTATCGCTATAGTGATTCGCAGTCGACTAATGTGCCTCTGAATTACCAGAGCCTGTAACTTGAAAAACCCTTCAAAAGTCCGAACTGAGTTTCAGTAATTTGCGCGCACCCTGTAGAATTTGTGGCGTATCCTACAACGAATTCGACCTACTGGATGCTTTATCTTCAAGACCTTTGAATGTCGAGCTAGAAGGAGTTTGTTGTGCCATAACGAATGAATGATACAGGGTTACCAGTTTTTATTAGGTTGAATTGGGAGCGGAAAAAGGAAGCGAAAATTTGGTAGTTTGCCACGTAAACGAGGTCCTCATTTGCAATTGATTCGGGTTACGAATTTAGAGTATAAATCCGAGTCTTCAAGCAGTACGGTCCTCGATGTATCTATAATATGACGTGGTTTTATTTTAGCCTTTGTCTTGCGCGGATGTTCAACGGATCAAGGATGAGAAGCCGTTGAAAAAAGAAGACGCAGTAAGAAAGAGATAATATAAAAGAGACAAAAAGATAGCATGAAACAGCAGGCTGAGAAGTTGCGAATTTCTGAATCACGGAATCATCTAGCTAATTACAGAGTTTTACAAAAGGTTGTGCCTATCTTTATTTGACGATCATTCGATTGAACTTAACGTCATTTTTTACGTCTTGCAGAACCTGGTATATGTTGTGGGACTGTCTCCGCGTGTGGCCGACCCAGACACGTTACGGAAACCGGAGTACTTTGGGAGGTTCGGGAAGATTCTAAAGGTATGATTTGCTATTTCGAGTAGAGGATTTGGAATAGCATGTGTTTTGTGAAATGATAACTAAATGGTCGAATAGTGAAGACCGGTGTGGCAAGTCAAAGTGCATTTGTTGTAAAAATCTCGGTTAGGCTGCTTTCATAGTCTGCGCCGTCCGCGGATGCCGTCCGCACGGTCCCTGCGGATTACGCGGAGAGTGCGAAGAGCGTCAACACGCGCACTGGCGCATGACGCTTAAGGCGTCGACTCTGCGCCTAGTACGCGTTGTGCCAGAGTGCTAGTCGCATACCCCCACGGACCGTGCAGATGGCGTCCGCGGACGGCGCAGACTATGAAAGCAGCCTTTGCGACTAAATCGGCCCCTGTTATGCTGGAATAGCATCATTTTTACAGTGTTTGTATAAACTTGACAGATTTTTTATTAGGTTGTGGTTGGTACTGCGCCTACAGCTAATCATCCTCATGCACAACCTAGTCATACCGCTTATGTGACGTATAGCAAGGTCGAGGAAGCTTTGAGAGCTATACAGGTACTTACCAGCCATATAGCCTTCAAATGCTTTGGTGAAAGCCAATTTGGCAACGTTCT